TAACACTGTTGTTAACCTTTCCTTTAAGAGATGCTTTTGGCTGAGCAAGAGCCAAAGGGTCAAGGAGAAGGATTCTGTTCCCACCCAAGCTGTGCTACCCTCACACAAGCTACCAATGCTACAGCTCTAGAAAAGCTGTAGATTTTAGGACTCTGCAATACTAATGAGTAAGATATAAGACTGTCCTTTGGACATATAATCTGACATCTCCTGGAAAAGGACCATTTCTTAACTCCCCCTTAGCGATAGCCTACAAAATTCTCTTAAGTAATTTTTGTTTGACGGTTTCATTTTTCTGAGGTTCTTGAGCATAAAGCAACATATGAAACAGAGTATGTCCATGGATTTTGTGAATTGCAGCCTGTTAGCCCTAGAAACACACCATAGATGACAAAGTACAAAAGCCCGTTCTACCAGACCCAGGAAGTTTTGATCCAGGAAGCCAGTGTAAAGCAGAATGGCACAAAAAGCCCACAAGTAAAAATATTTTTGATTCACGTGAAGCATAAATGTCTCCTTTGTCTGGTGTCTGAAACCCACATACTTTACCATACCCTACCCAAGTGGAGATGTTTGTTGTTTTTTTTTTTTGTAAAAGCAGAAAAATGACATAAAGGGAGGATCCGCAGAAACAGTTTCCACGATAGCTCTGTGAACTCCATTTCTCCCACATACACCTCACTGAGATTTCTAATGTAGCACAGTAAGATTAGAACAGGAGTTTAATTTATCTGAGAACAAGAGTTTAATTTACTTGTGCTAAGCAGTGATCAAATTGTGCCACACATAACACACAATGGGAACCTTGACAAAAGACTACGAGAATTAATTGTAGGAGTAGCGAGTAGCCACGCACTATCGTTTCATAAGCTACATGTAACTACCCTCTAAGAAAATCAGAGGTCAGCCTCAAGACAAAACACAATCTATATGGGATATATTCCTCAATTATTCATTAGAAATCAGCCTACAATTTCTTCGCACAGATTATCTAACACATTTGCATCTGGACATGACCGAATTCTTAACAAACCATCTCGACAACCTTCTTGCTACACCTAAGAGCGAAAAGTTACATCTTCAACACAAAAGAGAATCACATAATCACAAGGGTTGGAAGGATCTGGAATATTGTGTCCAGTTCTGGGCCCCTCAGTTCAAGAAGGGCAGGGACCTGCTGGAGAGAGTCCAGCGCAGGGCAACGAAGATGATTAAGGGAGTGGAGCATCTCCCTTATGAGGAAAGACTGAGGGAGCTGGGTCTCTATAGTTTGGAGAAGAGGAGACTGAGGGGTGACCTTATTAGTGTCTATAAATATATAAAGGGGGAGTGTCATGAGGATGGAGCCAGGCTCTACTCAGTGGGAAACAATGATAGGACAAGGGATAATGGGTACAAACTGGAACACAAGAGGTTCCACTTAAACTTGAGAAAAAACTTCTTCTCAGTGAGGGTGACAGAACACTGGAACAGGCTGCCCAGGGAGGTTGTGGAGTCTCCTTCTCTGGAGACATTCAAAACCCGCCTGGACACATTCCTGTGTAATATTATGTAGGTGTTCCTGCTCCGGCAGGGGGATTGGACTAGATGATCTTTTGAGGTCCCTTCCAATCTCTAGCATACTGTGATCCTCTGGAGATCATCTAGTCTGACCCCCTCCTGCCATGGCAGGGTCACCTATAGCAGGTTATACAGGAACACATCCAGGCAGGTTTTGAATGTTTCCAGAGAGGGAGACTCCCCAGCCCTCACGGGCAGCCTGCTCCACTGCTCTGCCACGCTCAACAAAAAGAAGTTCTTCCTCATGTCTAGGTGAAACTTCCTGTTTTGGTTTGTGGCCATTGCTCCTTTTCCTGTCACTGGGCACCACTGAAAAGAGTCTGGTACCATCCTGCTGGCACCCACTTTTGAGATATTGATACACATTAGTCTAGAGAAGACTAAGATGGGATCTCACTAAACAGGCCCAGCTTCCACAATCTCTCCTCGTAAATGATGCTCCAGAACCCTGATCATCCTTGTGGCCCTCTGCTGGATCCTCTCCAGTAGCTCTTTTTCATTCTTGTGCTGACGGGCTCAGAACTGGACACAGTACTCCAGATGTGGTCTCACCAAGGTCGAGTAGAGGAGGAGGATCACCTCCCTCACCCTGCTGCCACACTCCTCCAGATGCACCCCAAGATAGTGTTGGCCCTTCTGGCTGCAAAGCCACACTGCCAGCTCATAGTCAACTTTTATCACCTACCAATACTCCCAGGTCCTTCTCAGCTGCAGTTTGCCCAATTAGATAGAATTTTAGGGCTCAGACAAAGGAGACATTTATGCCTTATGTGAATCAAGAATGCTTTTACTTGTGGGCTTTTCTGAAAGTGTCCCACTTAGATAGCATTTTAGAGCTTGGAGCAAGGACTTTTTATGATCTTTTCATTAAGCATTACAAAGCTCAAAGGCAGAAAAATGTAAGCCCAGAACATAACCCATTTCAATCCTGTCAGGTATGTTACCTACATGAAGGCTCTTGCACAGCCACTATTCCTAACAAAAAAAAAAGTAGTTTTCTTTCTTTTCTGCCACCCCGCTGTGCAAGGAAGAGAGGGAAAAAGAGGCTTTAAACAGGCAAACAGCACAAGATTATTCTACAATGCACTAAATGTGAGGCAAACCTATGCCCAGAGACAAGACGACAACTCAGCTTAGACTCGTGAGGTTTCTTCTGATTTGGTCTTCTTACCTGGGGACTGGAGAGAACAACAACACAAAGGAATCTACAAATGAAGCTAACTGGATCAATTTACACTAAATAAAAATCACACAGAGCACACACCAGACAGAGGAGTAACTTTTAATTATTTTGATTTAGTTCTAGACCTCACCTTTAGCAAGTTCATCTATGAGCAAATTCAACAAAAGCAAAATGCCAACCACGTAACTTACTTGCACATTGGTTTTCCACAGTATTACAAATGCACTTCCAAACTTTTGGGAATCTACTTCAAAAAACTGCTGTTTCAGTGGCATGGTAATTTTGAATATGAAAATCTTCTAAAGGACAGGACAATTACTACATTTGTTCCAATCCACCCCACAAGGATGGAGCTAAAAGACATGAATCATACCCTAAAAGTACCCTCTTCCCATGTCATTAGCCAGAGGATAAAGAACACTAATTCCACCAACAGAGATGTCCTGTTTGTTTAAAAATACAACAAAAATACTCAAAAGCTGAGAAGTATTTTCCCTCCACAGCTCACTCCTACTTTACACCAATGACTACACTTAAGTTCCTACCTGACCCCTTCTCTCCCCCACACAATTCCTGTCAAGCAAGTAGTAGTAGCACCTCAATTATCCACGTCCAAGCATTAAAAGTTTCACACATTTATTGTAAATATAAAGTGGCTCAGGAAGTTCTAAGAACATGTGAGTACTGACGCTTAACTCACTGCTGGAGATAGCCAGAAAGGAATCAGCACCCCACTGAGCATTTCTGAAAAAGGCATACTCTGTAATTCCACTCTCTAGGAGCTGGTTTCCTTCCATTTTATTCCAGAGCTCTAGGTCACAAGCTTTATGTCCCTTTAACAAAAAAAGAAACAAAGAAAGAAAGAAGAGAAAGGCAGCACTGGAAAAATCTTATCCTGCCAGTTATCCTAAAATATCCTTCCCTCCACCACCATCACCTTTGAGGACCTATAAGGAAAGGAAAATCAACATAAATAACTTACTTTTACAGCGTGGTGGCTTTTTTTTGTTTGTTTTTTATACAGAAAGACTCAAAATGAAACCACAAAGTCTACATGAATTATGTGAAGTTAGATGTATGCTTAACAGCCTTATGCAGATAATCTGAAAGTGTAAAATCGTGGTTTGTTCTACATACACACAGAGGAAAAATACAGTACTGAAGTTAGGCAGGTATAACATCACAGGTGCTGTTATACCAAGCATTTTCCAGCTTAGCCTAAACCCTCTCCCTAGAAGTGCACAAGGGCAATTCCCTTCCTTACAAAAAAAAGTTTACAAAGGGAATAAGAAAAAACAAAACAAACCACACCAACACTTTCTCCACATGAACTGTGCGTAATAAATTTCACTTGAACTCTTCTCATAGGGTCTGTATGTAGTGGCTTCTCGGCAGCGCTCTGTAGCGGTCACAGACCAGAAATAAGACATTCACCTGAAACTAAAGACAACCAGGTAGAACGTAAATGACCAAACAGGAACTGGTGATATGACAATTATCCAAACACCATTCCTGGGAACTCCCCCAGGAGCCGAAACAAGCCCGGCATTTCAGCGCGGCCTCGGCTCGCCTCGCCTAGCCTCACCTCAGGTGACGCCGTGCTCAGCGGCCAGGCCTGTTTCGGCAAGCAGGAGAAAAGGTGTCAGAAACGTTCCTCGCTAACAGCTTGCACGCAATTAAAGTTAAAATAATAATAAACAAAAGTTACAGGCCTCGATTCTCGCAAACACGGAACACTTGCTTCTTCTAACCGCAACGCCTGGACTGAGAGGCTAGCAGCAGCCGGTGGGACGGCGGAGTAAGAAGCAGCCAAAGGCCGCCCTGCGGCTGCAGCACCCCGAAAGGCTTTTAAAAAAATTAGAAACCAAAATTGTTTTTATTCCTTGTGGCACCTCACTGAACTCCGCGTGTACTCCCAGAGGAAGCGTAGCCCAACCTCTCCGGCTTCCTTTAACGGACAAGGACAATGGCAAAAGCTCACCACAGCCCCGCGTTTTAGGGAAACTTGGAAGTCGGAGGGCTACTGCCCGCCCCGAAGGAGGGCAGTCTGGCAGCGCCTGCTCCCCGCCCGGTTCAATGGCTGATAGCTCTCAAAGAACGTTGCAGTAGACAGCCATGGTCCAGGGGAAATCAAAATGCCCGTGCTTAAAGACAAGGAACAGAAAGGGGCATTCCATGCAGCCAGGCCGCGGTGCGACCCCCGGGTCAGACGGCTCAGGGGGACGCCGGGCCGGCGGCTGCGCGGGCAGGAACTCACCAGGGGCAGCAGCCTGCTTACTCGCTAAGTTTCCCCAAGTTGGGCGGGGGAGGTGAGACGGCGGTCGGCGTAACCGAGGTTCCCTCCGCTGCCTCGGCTAGTCCATGGACACGGCGTAGCAACACTCCCGGAACTTCCCCGCGGCAGACGCGGCCAGCCACCGGGGCCGGGGTACCTCTCTGCAGAGTCGAGCCGCACTGCTGCTCCCCTGCTCCCGCCGGCGGCCGAGAAGCGCGGAAATGCACACCCGTTCCTCCGGCCACGCCTGCTCCCCACACGCAGCCGTGCTCCACACAAAGGGGACGCACAGGAAACACAGCTCTTCCTCCAACCCCACAGGGTCCTGCAGGCCTCCCAGTGCCTTCTCCCGCCGCGACTTCCACAGGCGTCCCCCCAGCTGGGAGGGTAACGCCGGCACCCTAGGAGGACCCCCGAGACCGGGCGGAGCTGCTAGCGCAGAAGCTCCCGCCCCAGCGGCGGGAAGAACTGTCCGTCACGCTATCGCCGTCGCTTCCTCTCAGGCGGTCCCCGCAGACCCCTCCGGCGACTTAGCGAGTGGAACGCTGTGCCCCTCAGTAAGGCTGTCAGCTTCGTTTATTTTAGGCTAGTTTTGCGGTCGAGATGGCCGTGTCCCACGCCCCGCGGAAGAGGCGCGCAAAGCCAACCTGCCCCGCGCCCCGCCCTGGGCTGAGGGAGCTCGGCAGCGGCCTGCGCTGCCGGCCCGTCCCCTCAGCCGCGTTTCCTCCCAGCCCGAGGGCTTTCGGAGCGAGAATTACCATGCTAGGGACAGCACTCCCAGGGTAATAGTGAAGGAGAAAATCGAGCTTTACCTGAAAAGCCAGAAGGAGAAAAGGAAAGGAAAAGGATACCCTGAAGAGTATTTTAAAGCGTCCTAGGGCTTTTAAATTTCTCTTTCGAGCTGCTGGGAACATAGGAGAGTGAGGAGAGAAGAGCTGAGTCGTGATTTTTAAACCCATGTGCTGAGCAAGTGATAGCTCACACCTGAAGTAGTCTCTGCCTGGTAGGTGGAAATGCCCTCCCCTTCCCTCTCTAGCTTAGCTTCTAACTTCTATGCACTGCTCCTCTTCCCATCTATTCTGTACCTAATAATCTCTCTTGGCACAGGGAAACAATTCTGTCTTCATTCTCTTCCTCATATAAACTGTCTTCTGCAGTGCCTCACTAACTATGAAAATAGGTTTTGTGCAAGGAAGGCAAAGCTAGGCTAAGGAAGGCAGTTTCACACCAGAGGCATTCTCACATTTGCTACACTTCAGGGCTTCGCTTCATTCGCTTCACCTACTTCAGGGCTTGGACTTCCTTATTTCCCCTAGATCAGGGGTGCTGCTCACCAAGACAGCAGCATTCCCACCAAGTGCTTAGCTGAAGGGTAAAAGGAACTGTTGATCAATAAAACAGTGTGAGTTTATTAGTTCTCTTGTGTGATTATTCACTCGGTCAAGGAGGACAAAACCATTGTAGAATTAATATGGAATAAATGGACAGTTCTGTTCATCCACACCCATCTGAAGTCAGAGGAAACAGCAGTGTGTGACCCACCCACTGGTCACATTATCAAAATTCCTTCTCTTGCTTTCCATGCAGTTGTTCAAATAAATGTTTTTTAAAGGGGGGATGGGCAGGAGGGGTTTGCAAGGCATTCTCAAGCTTGGTCAAGGTTTCTTAGAAACCGAAGTAGAATGTTATTGACTGGTAAAGCTGGAAGAAGATCCTAGAAGAATCACCTGAATTTTAGAAAGGATCTAAGTAAGGAAGGGGAGCTAGGAAAGGTCAGTCAATTATCAGGTGGTAAAAAGACTCCATCTCAGAAAAACCTAAGTCATCTTACAGAGCACCAAGTCACACTGCCAGAAAGTCCGGAACCAAGACAGAAAGCTCCAGTGTGCTGCTTCTCTAAGAGACGGGAAGATGGAGAGTGCAATTGTAACTGCTAAGATTCAGCAAGGGAAATGGGAAATTTCAGGGAAACTCAGCAGCCCTGTGATATAAGGACTGTGGAATTAGGAAGGGCATTCATCAGTCAAATCAGGTTCTCTTACAATTTAAAAAATTCTCTTAAAATGGTTAGTGTTAGCAGTTCACAGAGTAGTTGAATCGTTCATTGTTAGCATGGAGATAGTTCAAACAAACTATGTCCCATTTATTTACCTGTGATGTTATCTCTGTTCTGTGTGCTTCACTGTGTTGCAAATAAGGGTAAAAATTTAAACCATCAAAGAAACATTATCTAAGTGCTAGGGCAAATTGGAAAACTTATAAAAGGCAGTCACTTCAACAGTAAAAGGGTGTATTAATACTGCAGGAATGAAAATAGAAAGTGTGATTTTTTTAGTGAATTTTTGCAGGCCAAAGTTTGTGTATGGTTTGTCAGAGCTGTTTCCTCTGACTACTCCAAGACATTTCCTGAAATTAATGACTGATCCATTATGAGGAGTAGCTGGTGGAAAATGGCATGACCAGAGCTATTCACCAATTCCACTGTATCTGCTCATCATCATCATCAAACACAACTTTTCAATGAAAATTCTTATTTACGGAGGGAGGTTTCTGTAAATCAGTTGGAATTATCATGCAGTTTTGATAACTACAAGGTTAAGAGAGAGGTGGGTGAAGGGGAAAAAAGCCCACAGAAGCTGCTGAGAGACTAAATGACTTCAAAGAAATCAGTAGATGGATCTAAAAGAGAAAGTATAAATATTTTAGGGAAATACTTTATAAAATTTTAGAGCTCAATTAGAAGAAGAATAAATTATGATTCAACTATTTAGTTATCAAATAAAATGAAAGTGGAATAGACTGAATCAGCGATTTAACTTTATATGTTAACTTTATGCATCATTTCCGCAATTTTTTTCTATCTCCCTAGCTCCCTCTGCTGTTACCTCACCAAAGCTTTTGACACTCTCAGTAGAAAAGGCCTGTACCTGATCTTGGAACGATTAGGTTGTCCTCCCAAATTCCTCAAAATGATTATTCTGTTACATGAGGATCAGCAAGGCCAAGTCAGATATGGCGATGCACTCTCTGAGACCTTCCCAATAATCGATGGTGTGAAACAAGGTTGTGTTCTCGCACCAGCTTTATTCACAATCTTCTTCAGCATGATGCTCCAAAGGGCTACGGTAGACCTCGACGAACAAAACAGCATTTATATTTGATATCGTACTGATGGGAGCCTATTCAATCTAAGGCGACTGAAGGCCCACACTAAGACTTAAATCATCTTGTCCGTGAACTGCTTTTTTGCTGACAATGCTGCCCTTGTTGCCCACACAGAAGCAGCTCTGCAACATTTAACATCTTGCTTTGCGGAGGCGGCTGAGCTTTTTGGGCTGGAAGTCAGCTTGACGAAGACAGTAGTTCTCTACCAACCTGCACCACACGAAGATTATCACCATCCCCACATTACCATTGGTGAGTCAGAGCTTAAGTCAGTTCAGCAGTTCAGCTATTTGAGAAGCATTATTTCCTCGGATGCCACTATCGACAAAGAGATAGACAACAGAATAGCAAAGGTATATAGAGCCTTTGGAAAACTCCATAAAAGAATCTGGTGCAATAAACACCTGAAGAGAAGTACAAAGATTAGTGTCTGTAGAGCCATTGTACTGTCTGCTCTTTTATATGGGCCTGAATCATGGGTTATCTACCGCCATCACCTGCGACTCCTTGAACACTTTCATCAGCGCTGCCTCCATACAATTCTAAACATTCATTGGACTGACTATGTGTCAAATGTTACTGCCCTTGAACAGGCAGAGTTCACCAGTATCAAGGCCATATTGCTGAAATTGCAGCTGCCCTGGGCAGGGCACGTCTCTAGGATGAAGGATCGTCACCTCCCTAAGATTGTGTTTTATGGTGAACTTGCCACTGGTTGCTGCAAGAGAAGTGCCCCAAAGAAGAGATATAAGGACTCCCTGAAACAATACCTTAGCCTTGGCCATATTAACTACCATCAGTGGTCCACCTTGGCCTCCAATTGGGAGACTTGGAGAAACCCCATACATAATGCCGTTGTCTGCTTTGAGAACACATGCAGAACTAGTCTCAAGGAGAAAAGACAATGTAGAAAGAATCGCGCCCCGCCTATACCACCCAAGGAGACTTTTCATTTTGCTTTTTGCAACCGGATTTGCCTATCCCACATTAGCCTTTTTAGCCATCAGCGCGCTTGTAGTAAGCGTGGGTAAAGCCCTTCCCAAATCTTTGTTCGCGAAGTCAAGCCATGATGATGATGATGGTGATTGTACCTGTCTGCTCCGGCTCCACTTCATCAGTGTCTGACAGAAGCCTGTGGGATAAAGGAAGCCTAAAACCATAAACCATTGGTAAGAATAACAGTGAGTCTGTTAATAATTTATTCCCTCCACATGCATTTAAAAATGTCTATATACCACAGACTGCACCATTCAATACAGTATATCCTTCCTTTAAGCTCCTTATTTTAAACGGAAAACATCCGCATAAGTAAAAAGATCGCAGGAGTATGTGTTTCTTCTATCAGCTTTCTTCCAGCCTAATCGGAATCTATTGTGGTCCGTTCTTGGCATCTTTGTTATGCAAATCTTTTCCTGCAGAAAAAAAACGCGGATTTAGTGCTGACCTTCGCTTTGGCTGGGGTAGCAGTGACATCCAGTGGTTCAGGGAGAAAAAGAAATTTGCTCTTTTCCTTTCTACCACAGTGCATTACAGGAAAGGCATCAGAAAATGGCAGGGATGCCTTGGCACTTCCTTCTCCTTGTGGGTATTTGCACCAACTGCAGGCAGTCTGACAGCCGTGAAAATGGATAACCCACACTGGGAAACAAAAACCAGAAAACACCCTTTAAGACAGACCATTTTTCTAATGGCTTTAAAAGGACATCACTCTAGGAAATGTAATCGGTATTTTCAAAAGTTCAAGTAAAAGGCACCTTTCTGTTACATCTACACCATTGACTTCACAGCTTTTTCTTTTTTTCTTTTTCAAGCCTGTTTCTGCACTGAAAAAAGAGGATGGACAGCCTTACAAACAAGGGAAAATCAATTGAAGAGAAATTACTACGGGGGAGGTTGGCTTCTCAAGTCAGAATAAGCAAACTGTAAGTTATTAAAGAGTTTCCAGTAACCAGCTGAATGTTGAACTGTGATGTGATATTTGATGCACTGAGAATTGATTTAGATTTTGTGTACATGTTGTGTTAAAAGGGTGCGGAGACAGTGTTCTCACAGGAGAATGGATAATTGGTACATAAACTCTGAAAATCCTGAAAGATACAGCAAGACCATGAGGCCCGAGGAAGCCTAAACAAGCAAGATAAGAAGAAGCTGGATTTCACCAAGTTAATGAGAACTGTGGACTGTTGGCAAGCTTTCAAGGTCAAGTTCCCACACCTGTGCTTAACCAATTATATGCTAGTTGCAAAGGGTCTTCAAGACATGCATCCAATCATAATACGCCAAATCACTGTAAGTGCATGTAAGAAATAGTATTTAAGGGGTTAAGGCTTTGTAATAAAGGGCTTTTTGTCTGATCATATTGATCCCTGACTGAGTCCATATATTTTCTGTGGCAACTGGCGCCCGAACAGGGATCCCCCTTATATTTCATATTGAAGCTGAAAGAATTAAAAAGCGCGTGGCACCAAAGAAAGTGGAAAACGCGGAGCCACAGGGCCGTCGGCTGGGTTCGATCCGGCAGGACCAGGATCGGGAGGTAGTCGCCTCGGAACGGAGCCTAGTGAGCCCGGAAGACACTGCGCAGTGCAAATAAGGTAACAGCCAACAGGGTCTGGAAGAGGGTTAGGATGGGGAATCAACTAAGGAAAGAAGAAACGACCATCCTTAATCTCTTCCAGCATATCCTCTCAGTGAGAGGGACAGAATATGATGATAATTTGTTAAAAAGGCTATTGCTCTGGAGTAAAGAAAAAGAGCTGATCAAGGGGGTTAATGAAGCTCTTGATCTCGGGACCTAGGAAAAAATCGGGACATGCCTCTGGGATGAAGTTACTTGTGGGTCTAAGGAGGCGAAATCTCTTGCTGCCACCTGGCGACTAATGAAAGAGACTCTAGCCGCAATAAAGGCTGAGAGAGAGCCTGAAAAATCTGCTCTTAAAGCGCTCTTTGACTCGCCTTTGCAACAGCAGGGTGCGGCACCTATATTAGATTCAGCACGCGGCGCTACAGCCATGGTGGTGTCGTCTGTTTCAGGCGCAAAATATTCTGGTCAAAAACCGGCGCGCAGTAAGGTACGAATGTTTGAGGACCCTGCGCCTTTCCCCTACCCTATGTCGACAGCGCCTTTATCGGCGGTAGCTCCAGCTGATACTCAGGAGCCGGTAGGGGTTACTGAGCAAACGAAACAAACTGATGTTAACCCTTTTCGTGCCGCTACTGCCCCTGAACTTAGTCACCAAGGATTTTTGCCGGGGTGGGAATCTCCTGAAGAGGAGAGTGTAACTCCGAATAAATACCCACCTCCGCCACATACGCCACCGCTTGCATCGCTCCCACTGGAGCTGCAAAATGAGTGGAATTGGGGGCAGTGGAGAAAATCCTTAGATAGGCAATTGCAGGACTTGCGGGACCGTCTGGATAAGTTGGGGGAGGAGAGGTAGCAAGCCTCAGAAAAACCGGAAAAAAACGGAAAAACCGGAAAGCCCAGCTAAGATCAGTCCGTGTGATGTGCCGTTACCACCGACTCCTACATCTAATAAAGCTAATCCGTGTGCCATGAGATGGCGAGGCTGCATTCAGGATGCAATTATAGACGGTACTATTTTACCGATAGATGTTCCTGCTGCATTCCGTGTTACTATAAATCCTCAGGGACAGTCTGTCTGGACTCCTATGGACTGGAAAGCTACGAAAGAAATTAAGGGAGCAGTTACTCAGTATGGGTTGTCTTCCTCATATACACAGCAAATGTTATCTGCTTTCTTTTCTAGTAATGTTCTAACTCCAAATGATTGTCTCAGAGTGGCTGCAATTTTATTAACTCCTTCCCAGCTCCTGCATTTTAAAAGTGGGTTTGAGGAGCTTGCTCAAGGGCTGCAGATGAGAATTCAGAGTGTAATCCTCATCACCCTTTGCATGGTGTTTCATCTGAAATGTTATTGGGAAAGGGGGAATTTCACCCTGATGGAGTACAAGCTCGCATGAAAATTGAAGTTTTACAGCAAGCACAGCAATTGGCTTTAGCTGCTCTGAAAGCTGTGCCGGAAGCGGGAAAACCTAATCCTTCATATACATCAGTAAAGCAGGGACCTACTGAGCCATATATGCAATTTATTGACAGATTGACAGAGGCTATCGAAAATAATATTGATCTGGCATCTAATGCTAAAGAATCCATGTTTATGTCTCTGGCTATGGAAAATGCTAACCCAGCTTGTAAGTGTATTTTGCAGATTTTGCCAAAATCTGCTGGTCTTCAAGAAATGATGGATGCATGTTCTAAAGTGGGCACAGCAGAGGAAAAGGCTGGATACATGGCTACTGCCTTCACCGCTGCTGTTAAACCCCTTCTACAAGGTCAGGGTGATCGTGGGGGTACTAAAGGACAAGCTATTATTGAACGAACACATCAAACTTTGAAACAACTGTTGGAAAAACAAAAAACGGGGGAAGAAGGACGTACACCGGTAGCAAGGATACAGAAAGCTGTATATGTTATGAATTTTGTGCAATTGACAGGAGACTTTAATGACCCCCCTGCCATAATACATGGTCGGGCATTAGGTTCAGGTTATATGACTAAAACTCTGGGTATTTTGGTCCAGTACAAGGATTTGGAAACCGGCATTTGGAAAGGTCCTGCAGAAGTAAAACTAACTGGTCGAGGTTATATATGTGTCATTACAGATTCCGGTCTGCGGTGGGTGCCAGCTCGATGGGTGAAACCCTGGAAAGAACCAGTACCACCCCAGGACAACCCCCCTTGTCAGTGATTGAATTAATTGAAATTTCAGCTTAGGACTTCTGTTTTATGGATGTTTTCAGTCCTTCTTAAAGTGAAGGGAGCGATCTGTTTAACGTTAAAGAAAAAAAAACAACAACAAAAAAAAACAACCAAACAAACAAAAACAAAAAAAAAACACCATCCACCACCCCCCACCCACCCCCCCAAACCTACAGCGAGGCAAACACGGGATACAAGCATATTGTGTGCGGTTTCGGTGGTGGGAAGGTCTTTCATATGTTCTTATCAGGGGTATTGGGCATACTGTGACTCATTTAATATAGTCTCTCTGTGATACTCATGAACTAGAAGTTGGTAAAAATAAGTATGTACAGGTTTCTATCAACCTTTGGAGACCTTTGTAGATACTGCTGGCCACTTCTTCCAGCACAGGCTGGCCACCTGTGTCGGAATGAGTGTGCATTTTGGTCAGTATAAAAGCCCAAGCCTCATGCGCTGTGGGGGAGGCAGAGCCTCTGCGGGGACGCCTGCTAAGGTTGAGCCTGCCACCTCACACTGCAATGATGCTTCTCGGAGCTGTTTCTCTGCTAGTCTCCACAGGGTCCTTATGCCACATTCTGTACGTGGGACTGTGTAGTGGGAGTAATAATTGTCTTTTTGTGCTTCAAATATTTTAGTTGTGTGGAGTGTGCTTGTGGGATCCCACACGTGTGTGTGTGTGTTGAGGGCAATCGGTGTTCATGTAGAAGTTTTTAACGGGTAGCTGTTTAACATTTCGGGCATGAAAGAGTTAATGTGAAAGTGCGGCTGCCGGCAGGTATTTATAGTTGCTGCTGAAGCAGGCAGGCAGCTATAGCTGCTGCTGAGCAGGCCGGCTTTTGCAAGGAAAAAAAAAAAAGGGGGAAAAAAGAGCAATGATGCATCAAACTCCATGATAGTTAACAATGTGCAATTTAAGCTGTCTGCTTCTCAAGAACTGATACCATGGGGGAGGGGGTATATTTGTGTCCTCCTGCCTACAGGTCCATGATGACTGCCTGCAAAGTTTGTCAAGCCTTACCATGAGCCGGACAGACAAATGGAAAAACCTGATGCCTCAGCTACAGGAGCTGACTGTGAATACCCCAAGCAGAATGAGATAGAGGAAGAGAAAAAATGAATGACTACAAAACATCACTTGGGGGCAAATGAAAAGTAACATCCTAAATATGTGTGCTTCTAAAGTAGCTATTATTAGAGGTTGTGATTTTGTATATGAAACCACCTGTATTTACTAGCTAGTTGCTAATAAGAAACTACAGCTTGTATTGTATAGATTTGTCACTTGTAAAAGAGATGTTAGAGTATGGAAATTTGCAGTAGCCGCTAGAAAATGCTAAGGCAAAAGCTAGAAAGATTTTAATACAATGGTAGTGTTATAAAGCAGGTGATGGAACAAATTAAGAGGGTGGGAGAATTCCACTGGTAAGAAATTTCTTTGGCTAGTCCCTTGCTGCCATCAGCATCTTCAACATGCTGCTGCACCCTGTAATAGTTACTCTGCTAATGTAAATGTGTGTGTGCCTTGCTGTAGTAGAGACTTGTTACTGGATGAAGCAGGTGAAACTCTGCATTGACAACAAGGTGCAAGGACTGAGGCTAAAAAAATGCCTGCTACCACAATCAAGGGCAAGACTGGGTTGGCCTCTGTGTTTGCCACCAAGAAGAACCTTTAGCTCCGCTGTTGGCTGCAACCCAGCAGGCGTGAAGCGGTGGGGACACATGCCATGCCAGACCTTGATGTGAAGGATGGCCTCCCCTGTTACCAGAGAGCCATACCGCAGAAAAAAGGGGCAGGCCCAGCAGCCTGTAGTTGGCATATATTGGAGATATGATCTAGGGCAAATCCCCTGCTCAAGTAGAGTCATCCAAACCATATATAAAACAAAAAGGGGGAGATGCGGAGACAAGTGTTCTCACAGGAGAATGGATAATTGGTACATAAACTCTGAAAATCCTGAAAGATACAGCAAGGCCATGAGAGGCCTGAGGAAGCTTAAGCAAGCAAGATAAGAAGAAGCTGGATTTCACCATGTTAATGAGAACTGTGGACTGTTGGCAAGCTTTCGAGGTCAAGTTCCCACACCTGTGCTTAACCAATTATATGCTAGTTGCAAAGGGTCTTCAAGACATGCATCCAATCATAACATGCCAAATCACTGTAAGTGCATGTAAGAAATAGTATTTAAGGGGTTAAGGCTTTCTAATAAAGGGCTTTTTGTCTGATCATATTGATCCCTGAGTCC